CAAAAAAAAAAAAAAAAAAAGAAGAAGAAAGAAATTGCAACAAAATATCTGGATTTTGATGTAACAGAATGCAAAGATAATTACATTTGATATTTTAGGTCAACAAATATGACTAAAGTCATAACAGTAAAATATTTTAAGTGGATTTGGAAATAAAAGAAAGTCTGTTCATCTATGTTTTATTTTAGAGCTGTGTCCAGTTTTCTGGTGTCACAGGAATGAAGGGAGGGACAAAGGTAAGTGCTGCGGTCCCTGGCCACTGGGTTCCTGGCAGGCTCCTGGCCGCTGAGTGCCAATCTCCCTTCAATGGACTCCTCTTTCACCAGAGTGCAGAAGCTTATAAAGACAGTTATGACATGAACACATGCATGAGCTATGATACATAATTACAAAAGCTGCTTCTGTCATCACCGCATCTTGTCTCATCAGTAAGAGCGAATGGCTGGGGGAACGGTGGTGCAGTCAGCCTCGTTCAAAGTTTTGTCGATTACAGGTCTATATTCCAGAGTGACCTTGAAAAGAAGGGTCAGTGGTAAGTTAAGCACGAAAATGTACAAAAAGCCACCTCTTGTGTTCCTTTTGAAAAATTTTAACTATAAGGCCAGGTGTGGTGGCTCACGCCTATAATCCAAGCACTTTGGAGGCCAAGGCAGGCGGACCACCTGAGGTCAGGAATTCAAGACCAACCTAACATGGTGAAACCCCATATTTATTTAAAAAAAAAAAAAAAAGAAAAGAAAAATTTTAACTATAAAAGCAGATTTACGGGCTGGGTGCGGTGGCTTATGCCTGCGATCCCAGCACTTTGTTTGGGAGGCCGAGGCGGACGGATCACCTGAGGTCAGGAGTTTGAGACCAGCCTGATCAACATGAAGAAACCCCATCTCTACTAAAAATACAAAATTAGCTGGGCATGGTGGCTCGTGCCTGTAATCCCAGCAACTTAAGAGGCTGAGGAAGGAGAATTGCTTGAACCTGGGAGGCAGAGGTTGCAGAGAGTCCAGATTATGCCATTACACTCCAGCCTGGGCATTAGAGCTACGAAAATGACATTGTGCAAGAGTCTCAGTGCTTTACAAAAATACTCCCATCACGAAAAGTGGGAGAACCCTCGCATATACCAAAACACTTTATGTTCAAGCTATCTACTTCCAGTTTTTATACTTCAAAGTAAATATTTTATAGGTTGAACATGCTTGATCCAAAAATCTGAAATTCTCCAAAACTTGAAACTTTCTGAGCACCAATATGACATTCAAAAGAAAAGCGCCATGGAGTCAGACCTTCCAATTAGGGATGGTGAGACAGTAAGTATAATGCAAATATTCCAAAGTCTGAACACGCCTGAAATCCGAAACACTTCTGGCCCCAGGGATTTCACATAAGGAATACTCAAGCTGTGTATTAAATATGCACGCACAGTAAAAGGTAGACACACATATAAAGAAACTTAAAACCATAATGGGTCATCTCTGATTAGTGAGCTCTTATTTCAATCTCTTTGTACTTTCTAAAATGAGTATGTATTTCTTGAAAAATCACCAAAACTAGCCAGCCATATTGGTTCATGCCTGTTGGGGAGGCCAAGGCAGGTGGATCACTGGAGCTCAGGAGTTCAAGACTAGTCTGGGCAACATGGTGAAACCCTGTCTCTACAAAACATACAAAAATTAGCCAGGCATGGTGGCATGTGCCTGGGAGCCTGAGGTGGGAGGATCACCTGAGCCTGGGGGAGGTTGAGGCTGCAGTGAGATGAGACCAAGCCACTGCATTCCAGCCTGGGCAACAGAGTGAGACTCTACCTCAGAAAAAGCAAAAAGAAAACAAAACAAAAAAACCCAAACCCCAAAACATTAAAAACAGACTTGTGCTAAGCAAGTGAAGTGTGATTTTTATATACTATCAGAAAATGGCCTTCATGATAAATCCTGAAAATGACCGATTGCCTGAATTACAGACACACTAAATGGTAGTGAGAGTCCAAACGAAACATTCAGACACAGGTAAATGATTATACAACTATCTCTTACAAGGTATGAAAAGCTTAAAGGTAAAAGCTTTCCATCTTCATTATTTCTGAATCTTAATGCCCACTGGCAATGCCACATGGTGAGCTGTGCTTGCGTCGAACAGGGCTGCAAGCCCCCAGGCACACCCTCGGCTGGCTATTACAGAATCCTGCTCACCTAACCCCCTCCTCACTTTCTGCCCTTCTCTGCTTGCTCAGTGCCCAGGGGAGGCTAAGGGCTGCACTGCACCCCTCAGCTGCTGCTTCCAGGTGGCCCAGCCCATGGGAAGAGAGGGGAGTAGTCTCTTCTGGGCTCCCTTGGCTTGGGACAGGTTTCTGGTAGTGGCTGTGTGTCCCCACCCCAGACCTTGACTTGTCGCTAGGTCTACAATCATTGTCTCCTCCCCTGCCACCAGGCCTTGGACCCTTGCTCCTGTCCAGTGACTTCCATCTGGCCCACACTACGGAGTAACCCTTCCTAAGGCTCCTCTGAACCACTGGCAGGCACTGGATTCTGTTTCCAGCCAGAAGCCTGACTGACATAGTGCTTTTTCAGTGGTGCCTCACATCTGCCAGTGGTGACTTAAATCTGGCCTGCTCCTCCCTGTGCACCATCAGCAAGGCCAGCCTGAAGCCTGGGTGGGGCCGTGTGGGTGTTGGGCTGTGGTGAGAACAAAGTCCACACTGACCTTCCCAGTGCCCACGTCCACATAGGACAGGGTGTGCTTCCTCCAGTGCTCCTCAAAGGGCTTCTTCTGTTGCCCCTGGATGGGCTTGGAGTAATCGTACTCATCAATCCGCACCTGAGGCCAGAAACACCATCACATTTCTTATTACTCTAACAGAGCAATACAGAGAAACACGGCAAACACTAAAATGACGTAAGAGACACAAGGCCTAGAACTCATTCCGTTTCCACTTCAGCCCAGGAGGTTGGCACCATCAACATGCTCCGAATCCAGTGGCCACATGGCTGGCCAGCGGTGCAGCCAGCAGTGAGTCCAGAGTAATCCATGCCCGCATTTTCCCTTAGACATCCTTCATGTACCTAAGAGTTTATCAGATACTTTGACTTTTTACTCCATGCTCTGGGAGACTACCTCAACCTTTTCTTTCAGCATGTTTCTATTTAAAAAAAATTCTTTTTTGAGACAGGGTCTCACTGTGTCACGTGGACTGGAGTGCAGTGGTGGGATCACAGCTCACCGGAGCCTTGACTTCCCCAGCTCAATCAATCATCCTCCTCAGCCTCCTGAGTAGCTGGTAATTTTTTATTTTTTTTAGAGGCAGGTTTTGCCATGTTGCCCAAGCTGGTCTAGAACTCTGGGGCTCAAGTGATCTGCCTGCCTCGGCCTCCCAAATGCTGGGAGCCACTGTGCCTGGCTTATATTCTAATTAAAACTTGTTGTGATAACTAAACTAAATTTATGCTACTGGCAGGGCACAGTGGCTCACGCCTGTACGTAATCCCAGCACTTTGGGAAGCCAAGGTGAGTGGTTCACTTGAGGTCAGGGTTCAAGACCAGCCTGGACAACATGGTGAAACCCTGTCTCTACTAAAAATACAAAAATTAGCCAGGTATGGTGGTGTGCACCTGTAGTCCCAGATACTCAGGAGGCTGAGGCAGGAGAATCGCTTGAACCTAGAAGGTGGAAGTTGCAGTGAGCCAAGATTGCACCACTGCACTCCAGCCTGGGTGACAGAGCGAGACTACTTCACTTCAAAAATAATAACAATAAAATAATAATAATAATAATAATAATAAATGTATACTACTATCCGTATTCTGGCAAACACAGATTCATATACTTTGCAGGAAAGACTCTTAATATGTACAAGGAGGAAGAACAAGTTCTGAGCAGTGACTATAGCCATCAGCATATTCTAGTGGAGGGTAAATCAGTAACATTTCACAGTAAATACAAGTGATTTTGCCATTCACTGTGTTCTTTGCAGGAGCTATAAGACCCTTCCTAGACCCCAGAGCAGGTCACCAAAGTGCAGGATCGATAAGACCTTTCCCAGACCCCAGGGCAGGTCACCAGAGTGCAGGATC